TTATCTGGCCCCCAAGCTGATATATAAAACATAAAATACTTCTATCTCTTGATTTTTTTTCAGTAATCTTTGATTATCATTTTGAAGGCACAACAGAGAACATAAAATGAGACCAACCAAACTCTAGTTGAGGAACCTGTAACCAAGAAAAGATGTTGGGTATCTGATTTGATTTGGTGCAGTTTTTGAACTTGGCCCTTAGTTTGAAAAAAGTTTTAATTTAGGCCCCATTTGTGAGCGAGTTTGACACCCCTGGTGTAGAGGCAGGGCAGCCAACTCGAAACCCGAAAGTCCCAGGTTCGATCCCCAGTCATTGCACATCTCGTGGTGTCTCTGAGAAGGACACCCTATCCCCAATTGCTCCCCAGGTGCTTTCAGTAGCTGCTCACTGCTCCACCCGCTGGTGGATGGGTTAAATGCAGAGAGCCAATTTCACCATAGTATGGGAACATACAAAGATGACTATATATAACACATTATTATTATTATCATCATTGTCATTATCATTATCATTATTGTTATAATTATCATTATTATCATTATTATTTAAACATGAGATTTGAAATAACTTCTTAGATACCCAGTTGCTTTTGTTTTTTCTTCTTCCTCTCTTCCTGTCTCCTTCACAGCTTTTTGATGGGTAACATTTAAACTAGCCGTTAAGTTATAAAACATAAAGGTCAATACACAGAAATCAAGGGACGCTACATTTTCTTCAAGCTATAGTCTGAACTTTTTTTTTCCTCCTTTAGTTTTGAACCATATCTGGAGGCTGAGTCATTTCTGGTTGCCATGGTGAACTGGTCAGAGTTTCACACTCCACTTGAGCCCGTTATGCTTCATAGCTGCACTTCCTTTTGGCTTTTCGGTATCACGCAAGTTCATAGTGAGTTGTTTAAAAAGTATACATCTATTGGAAATAATTTTTTAAGTAAACAAAGTGGTGGTAGTTTATAAATAAAATCTGCTTTTAAAAAAGGGAAAAGCTTTTTAATATATCTATTTTTCCATCTCACATACAATATGTATCCTAAGATAAAAGAGCCTGGATTAAAACATTCAAAATAACTGACTGAATTTGTAACAAGAAACAATCTTAAGAAATTTACTTGTGATTTATAAAGTTTAGAGTAAATACAACAATGGTTGCTTTGTACGAAGTTTCACATGTTAAAGTTAATAAAGTGGGTGACTGAGGTTTTACTTCAGTGTGTTTTAAAGTTGAATTTTTAGATTTTTAATAACTTTTCACAAAGAACAAAGTGTAACATCCAACAGAATTTACTGCAAAAGAAAACTGAAGAAGAGCTTAGAGTAAAAAATAAAAAAATAAGGAAAAGGAAACATCAGAAATAAATGATTTGTAAAAGGTCAGAAATAGTTAAATCTGTGTGTGTTGGGATTGTACAAGAAAAATAAGGTGGGAGACGTTGGAGAGTGGGATTTATCAAAGTGGTTTTCTAAGTCCAGAAGAGAAACTGGGTTAGTTAAAGCCAGGTCGGATAAACTGAAACTCGTCACACTGACAGAGTTAGAAGAGACATGGGAGGAGATAACTATCAGTAGAGGAGATTAACCAGGAGGGTCTTAAAGTCAGCAGCAATAAAATCAGTCTGCTTTACTGTAAAGACAACAAATAGGAACAGAAAGAAGGACAATCGTTTATAAAAAGGATGCCGAGATAAACCAGAGAAGCATTTTCTGCAAAAACAGTGTGAACGCTAAATGACTGCTGAACTGAAGAAGCTGAAACTGACACGTTGTTAAAACTAAAAGAAGTAGAACACTAGCTAAAATAAGCAAAGTGCTGCCTTAAAGCAGCAAAACATTAGCTAAAGGAGTAAAAGGCTAGCTAAGACCTGAAACTATCAAAAGGCTAACTAAAAGTTAAATGTAGCAAACTGCTAGCTAAAAATGTAAAAAAGTTTGCTTGGAGTTAAAAATAGTAAAATGCTAATTGTAGACTAAAAGCAGAATGGATTTATTTATTTATTCTTTATTTATACAGGTAGTCTCATTGAGTCACGAGAACTCATTTTCAAGAGAGACCTGTTTTTGGGAGCTAATGATGGGGGTTAAGGGTCTGCTCAGGGACCCAGGGTGGGGCAAATGAGGGTGGAGGCAGCTGTGGGTGCTTCACCTTTTCCACCCACATTTTGATGTTAAGAGTACAGGGAATTAACCCTGCAACTTTCTGATCACAGACCTATCTTCTCTAACCTCTGTGCCACCACTCCCTCCAAATAAGAGCTAAAATTAGTCAAATTGTAGCTAAATACTTAAAGTAGCTAAAGGCTACATAAAAGTTTAAAGTAGCAGAATGGTAGCTAAAAAGTAAACTTAGCATGAGAAGACAAGAGAAGAGCACGTATGTTGAAGCAGATTTCAATAATAATGTTTTTGACAGAACTGTAAAAATCATCATGTAATTCTATAGGGAGTTATTCCTCCGTTTTATTTTTCTTTCTGTAGTTTTCTTTCTTTTTGTCTTTTTTGAAAAGTATAAAAGTTAGAAAAGCCAAAAGTCATCGCATCAATCTCCTGAATGAACTGAATGTTCTAAATTGTGAACGGCTAAATCTAAATAAAGCATGCAGAGTTAGATTGCAAAGAAAAATGTAAAGAAAATGTCAGTAAAACAACTAAAAGTGGTGCCAATTCTAAATCAACACTAACACACAAAAATAAAAATGTTTACAGGTTAGAATTTATTTGGGAGTTTGCAACAAACAAAGTTTACTTTTTTTCCTGTTTCTTTTTTCTTTTGCTTGGTTGTTCTCAACTTTAGAGTGTAAAATAAAGAGCACTGAGAATTTTGAATTGTTATCTATATGATCACAAAGGATTTGAACACACACACACACACAGAGAGAGAAAGAGAAAGAGAACCCACCTTGTAATTCCAGAGGTAATGTCACACTGAGCCTGCAAGATAAATGTTATCTGTCTTCTGCTTCAGCTCCTGTCTGTTACCTCGGGCATCCGCTGCTTTATAGAAGCAGCCATACACAGTCTGAACTATTACTGAGAAATACTATGTGTATGTGTATGTGTGTGTGTGTGCGTGTGTGTGTGGATGTGTGTCTTCATGTGTGTAAGCGTAACATGACTTAAAAGCAAGACGAGAGGCATGACTTGAGAAAAAAATGGAAATAATAAGCAAAATGTTAAGCTTGGCATGGAAATCCCTACTTTAATAGTGTCTGGTCTGTGTGTGTGTGTGTGTGTGTGTGTGTGTGTGCGCGTGTGTGTGTGTGTGTCTCATGCTAATGTTTGCAGTATGGATGTACCTCATTTGATGTCATGCTGCTGACGTTTTGATCTCCTAACAGCAAAGTGTGATCCTGGTGTTCATGGAGAAAATCTTTCCGCTCTGTTCTCCTCTGATGGGCTTAATGCCTGTGTGTAACTTTGAGTATGTGTGTGTGTGTGTGTGTGTGTGTGTGTGCGTGCGTGCGTGCGTGCGTGCGTGCGTGCGTGCGTGCGTGCGTGCGTGGGTGTGTGTGTGTGTGTGTGTGTGTGTGTGTGTGTGCATGAGCATTTGTGAGTCAAAGGGAGACTTTGCATATTTTTTCTCTAAATTTGCTTCTGGAGGGAGTATATAGTTATAGCTCGCTGTCAGAGGCAAAGCCAGAGCGATAATGTTTTTGCCATGTGTGCATGTGTGTGCATTTGTTTCTCTACAACATTAGCAAAGTATCCCATGACTAACTGAATATTTTTAATTAAACTTTCAGAAACTATTTATTGGGTTGACCTCTTCAACTGGTTAATTTTTAGAGTCAGCCCAGCTCATAATGGATGCCACAGCAAATCAGCCTTCACAAAAATGGCTTTATCGCATCGGGTTTTAAAGGTTTTGAGTTAAAATTGTGTGCGGCTGAGAGTCATTCACAACACATACATCTAGTGCTAAAAGGTCATACAAGGTCACACAAGAAATCTCAATATTGCATGAGCTTGTTCACAATATTTTCAAGGATTAACCAAAATAGCAATAACTTGATCATTTCACAGGAAATGTGCATGTCCTCAAGAAATGTTAGGTATTTTAGTTTTCTAAAAGTGCATATATTACATCAAAAAGAAATATAATATTTAACAGCGTCAAACTTCTGGATGATTCACGTAAGACTGCTTCAGTTCGGAATGAGGAGAAATGTTAACAGCCTTGCACTTTGTGTCAAAGTTGGAGGGTCTGGATTGGCAGGTTCAGTAAAAACTCTTGTCCTGTGGGCACATTTATCAAGCTCTAAAAGGAAACTCAATGAGGAGAAAATATTGTCAATCACATGCATGGCATGGAGAAAAGGAAATAGAGATTGAACAGCAGGTAGAGGTTTGCTTCATCTGCAGACTCCAGTCTAGCTGGAAAAAAAAAAAAAAAACAGGCCATTTTCTGTCCAGTTTGTTGTTGTTGTTTTTACTAAGGGTATAATTTTGCTTATTCTGGAAGAGAACGCGCAAGATGGTGTCCGCTCAGCTTTAATTGAGGTTGCACAAAGAAGCAAGATCCAGTATAAATATACAGATTTATTTATAAGCTGAACACAAAAAATGAACTGGTTTCCCCCTGCAGATATATTTACTTTTAGTTCAGCGCTTTATGACATGAACTTTATAAAAGACTTTTGTCCACGTGTGTGTTACTGAGGTCTCCTGCTCAGATAAAGTGTTTTATTTCCAACAGGAAGCGAACACTAACCAACGGCAGACCTGGAAACTCTAAAATAGTTGCCTATGTATTTGTGTGTGTCAGAACTGGTTCCCATGGTAACCGCAAAAGATAGCAGCAGCTTAGTCTGTGTTTGCTCGGGGAGAAAAGAAACATATCGAAAAATACAACTGCATGAAAGACAAAAGCAGGTAGAGGTACACGACATAAATGAAATGAAAGTTTCGATACTGTGCGAGAAAGAATTAATTTCTGCGCTGATGACATCAGCTGATTGACAGCGCAGCGTCCTCACGGTGTTGCGTGTTTGTGTGTTGATGCGCAGCCTGCACTGACGCGGAGCTCCACAGTTTGGCTGCCAGGCTGAAGGACTGGTTCGGAGTTCTCCACCTCGATGCCAACAGAGACCTCAAATCCTCTGACAGTTCTGACTCCACTGCTGGTCGTAAGTCCCCGCTCCCATCCCTTTCACACACACACACACACACCTAAAATACAGTATTTCAGTCTTTGAGTGTTTGTGTGTGCCTCTCAGTTTTTGTGAAAGCTGGTGATGATGTCGACTGTGACCCTCCTCTGTTTTCTGTAATGTCAACATGTCTTAACACATCCAGCTCTGCCCATGACAGCACTCACACTCACTCCGTGCTGTCAAATTATTTTTAAAAATAAAACACTTTCTGACCTGTGCATGTTCTGTCTCTTTTCTCCACCAGATTTTGACACCAGCATCTTGCCCATTTGTAAGGACTCACTGGGCTGGATGTTCAATAAGCTTGACATGAACTTTGACCTCCTGCTGGACCAATCAGAGCTGAACGCCATCTACTTGGACAAGTACGAGCTGTGCATGAAGCCTCTCTTCAACTCCTGCGACTCCTTTAAGGACGGCAAGTTGTCTAACAACGAGTGGTGCTACTGTTTCCAGAAGCCCGAAGGTGAGGCAGCTGAAAAACAGATGGAGGGATAAAACAGATATATTTTATTAGAAAACAGTAAATAGAATTAAAATAAATGGATGGAGATGACACTTCTGTTCTGAAATCTGTTGCATTATCATAAAAAAAAAAGGTTGTTGAAAAATACATTGACTGTTTTGTGATGGCCGTTGCCTTTCTAGGAATAATTATTGTGCATCAAAGAGGATTTAAAAACATTTTTTAAACCAGTTTTAAGATAATAAATTTTAAAAAATACAAGATTGTAGTTTGGATCACAGTAAACATCAGTTGAATCTGCCTCTAGATCAGCACAGCTGACATTTACAGTCCAACACAAATATTTCCTGAAGCCAAGTCTCCATTTTTATGCTACACATACGTTTGAGTTTACCTTTGTTTTTTCTGCCTTTCTTGTGAATTTGTTTCTTATCAAAGAAGAGTTGCTCGTGTGTTTAACAGCCATGCAAAAATGTAGCTTGGCTGTCTTTAAGGTTTGGTCTTTAACAGAACTTTTATGGTTGCAGATTTTAATTTTGCAAATGGAGTTAGTGAGCAGCCATGAGTTGGCAAATTCCATTTATAATCTGCCCACATTGTGGATATTTTGCTAAATGAACTCATTTTGCTGTGTTTGTTCCTCTCATTTACATACAAAAAGCAGTTTTTGTCATAAAACAGACATGTTTAAGTGACAAATTGCTTTGGTGCATCCATGTTTAAATAAAACAACTGACCTCTTTTTTGAAGACAAAGTTTTGAAGCCTTTTGTCATAGTCAGTTTTGGTTCTGTGAAAAAAGCAATTACTAGAAACAACAATAATCATACTCTTTAGACATCCAGCAAGCTCTGCACTTACCCTGCTGACTTTGCATCTCAGCTATTCACTTTAATATGTTGTATATGTTCATTATTTAAAAAAAAAAAAAGTGTTATGTCAAATAAAAACAGTTCTCTGTGTTTAAAGTGAAAGTAAACCTTGATAGCTGCTGCAACGATCAGTTTGAATAACCAAACCATTTCTGCACAAACTGTCAGAAACCATCTCAGGGAATCTCATCAGCTTGTCCGTTGTCCTCATCGGGGTCTGCACCTGACAGCAGTTCGTCATCGTAACCGACTTGAGTGAGGAAAATGCTCACATTTGATGGTGTATGGCATGTTGGAGAGGTGTTCTCTTCACAGCTGTATCCCTGCTTTCACTGGACATGGCAGATGGAAAACAAAACTGTGTGTATGGTGTTGTGTGGGTGAGCAGATTGCTGACGTCAGCATTATGAATTAAGTGGCCCAAGATGGCGGTGTGGCTATGGTATGGGCAGGCAAATGTTATGGACAACAAACATGCATTTCATTGATAGCATTTTGCATGCACAGAGATACGTGACGAGATCCTGAAGCACATTGCTGATCCATTCACATCCCCTCATGTTGCAGCACGATAATACACGGCCCCATGTTGCAAAGATCTGTACACAATTCCTGAAAGTTGAAAACATCCCAGTTCTTGCATGGCCAGCATACTCACCAGACATGATGAGCATGTTTGGGGATGCTCTGGATCGGCGCATGTTCCAGTTCTTGACAATGTCCAGCAACTTCACACAACCATTGAAGAGTGGACCAACATTCTACAGTCTACAATCAATAACTGGAAGGAGATGTGTTGAACTGTGTGAGGCAAATGGTCACACCAGATACTGGCTGGTTTTCACGAAAAATGGGCGCTAAAACAAGTGTTGCCTTTATATTATGTTCAGTGTATAAATACATTGATAAGACTTTGAATGATCTGTTTCAGTTCTCCATGTTAAGAACATTTTAAGATTGGAGCCTTTTTGTATCTTCTCTTGTTGCAGGACTGCCTTGTCAAACTGAGAAGAGCAGGATCCAGAATCAGAGTCGAAGAAAGAGCCTCATAGGTCAGTTTGAAGAAGTGCCAGCTTCTGGCCACTGTCTCCTCCTCATGTTTTTGGATAAAAACATACTTTAATATATTGAACAGATTTTTGTCATTATTTTTAAAATGGGTAAAGGTGTCAGACACTAAAGCACAACCAAGTACAAACATCTCCAGTTCCCATTGGGCTGTTTGTGTGGCTTACCTTCTCTCTAAAAACAAGCTTTAAAAATGAGCAGATACTTGGTCAAATGAAGTTAACAGAAAATATGTCTGTGTGTGTGTGGGGGGGGGGGGGGTAAGTGTGGATGTTTGCCTCTAGGTTATCGAAAGTGATTGCGATCCATGAGGCAGGATGTTTGATTGTTGTCCTGTAACATTCACAGGAGTCATTGATTTTTGATGTCCCTTTGTGAAAACTCACAAACTTTTGTTGCTCCTTCAGGAAACGTGCACTTAACCTCTGCTGCAACATAATTAGATTATATGTTCATTTATAACAAACTTGATGTTCTTAACCTTTACTTGCCTCCTTTAACCTTATTTTCCATTCCCTTCTTTTTTCCCCTCTGTTTTTGGATGTTCTACTTTAATTTTCCCATCTCACCCTCTTGTCTCCAGGCTCCTATATCCCTCGTTGCACCGATGAGGGCTACTACAAACCAACCCAGTGTCACAGCAACACCGGCCAGTGCTGGTGTGTGGACAAGTACGGCAATGAGATCGCTGGCTCCAGAAAACAGGGCAACCCCAACTGCGGTAAAAACTTTACAGAGCACATCACCTCATGCACACACTGTCAGGTTTTCAGAAGCAGAACAGAAAAAGTGTTGTCACTGCTCACTAACTCCTTATTTATCTAATCATGTCCTGGTGTTAGTGTTTCAGTTCAGGTGGGCAGCTGAACATCTGATTCTTTGACAGATCACAGACTGTGGAGCTTTTCCTTGAAACCTAACATACCATAGAATCACAGAAAGCAGGTCGTGCTGATTTGTTCTACTTTTTTGTTCAGTAAGGGTACTATATCACTTGACTGTGAGTGTATAGACTAAATGAGAACTCAGAACTGCAAGAAAGCTGTGAGGAAAATAGGTTAATTTTCTCTTGCATGTTCGCTGGATGTCTGCAACCTCTCTGTGGTTGCATTTTGACCAGTGATTGGTTAAAAACTATGGCGTTTTTGTGTATGCACTGCTTGCAGTTCTGTATTTTAGACCATGCACATTATTTTGTTGCCCATTTCTGCACACATTGGATTATTTTAGCTCCCGCTGAACTCACCTTGGCAGCTGCATCTCTCAAAATGGCGAGCAGGTGTGACCAGCTCCCTGCCAGGAGGGCCGCTCAGGAGTGTTTCACCGTGCAAAGTGTTGCACTCAACAGAACAGTTCACAGAGGTTGCAAACCAGCAAGCGAGTTGTTAAACATTTTACCAGCAGTAACACTCCAACTTTTTTAGGTGTGGCCATTCACAGTGTCACGCGCATGCGCATGCATGGACTGGCTTTTTGACCTGAGCGTGGTGTCATATCATGAAACTTTTCCCAAAGCAACAGAGTTTAGCACAACATGCACAGTTTTTCAAAACTTTTACACGTAATCTGCACTCTGACACACTTGTTCACTCCAATCAGCAAAACACAACTCTGGCACTTTCTTTAAAAAAGTAAAAAATACAATCAGTGGACCGCCGCCACACAAAATTCAACAATAACGTGGCGGTGTCCTCTCAAATATGGCATGTAAACAAAATGGGTTGCTGTGGCAACCACCTTTCCAGTTTCTGAGAGGAGCACACTCCTGACTCACTGTCCCATTGGCATTTCCTGAGGTCAACTCCCAGTACAAAATACTGGTAAGCCTCCTACCTTTACTTATTAACAATAAAACAGGCATTAGCAGCCAGTTAGTTAAGCTAGTATTCACCAACCTTGAGGGTGTCAGAAATTCCCATATACTGTAACATCTGTGATTTCTGAAGGTAAAAGGCTCAAATGTTAGAATACTCAGTTTCATCTGAAAACAGCTCATACATGCATGCATACAAATGATTCCAGGAGGTTTTAGCTTAGCTACAAAACTTTAATCTTTCTAATCAGAGCAGACTGCAACATACAAATCACAGGAACAGAAATGTGTGTCCACAATTCACTGAAAAGTGCAAAATTCAACAATTAACATACAGTTACCTCTTCATCAAGATGTCAGCATCAAGTTTCAACAAATCTGAAACTTTTTACACAAACGCTCAGAAGTTCTTAAACACAGCATCTAAGTTTAAGCAGTTTCAGAACTTTCAAAATAAGAGTCTTGTACTGAAAGTCCAGCAGAAACTCGGCATGTTATTGTGTGTTTTAATATGGACGTTTGCAACAGCCACAGCCCGGGTAGTATATTTATAGTATATAGTATATAGTACTTTAGGGTAGTATACAGTAGTCCCTCGTTTATTGTGGGAGATCCGTACCCTGAAGCCCCGCGATAAGTGAAAAACTGCGAAGTAGGAATAGTAGTACAAGTAGTAAGTAGTAGTTTATTTTAGTGCATATATATATATATGTTTTTTTTTTTCATTTACCCTTTATTTATACAGGTAGTCTCATTGAGTCACGAAAACTCATTTTCAAGAGAGACCTGGTTTTGGGAGCAGATGATGGGGGTTAACTTAAGGGTCTTGCTCAAGGGGCCCAGGGTAGGGCAAATGAGGGTGGGAGCAGGTGTTACACCTTTACCACCCACATTTTGATGTTGACAGTACCAGGAGTTGAACCTGCAACTTTTCGATCACAGGGCCACTATTCAACTAAATCATTGTATATAATGTATGAATAAACAGAAATAAACATAATAAATCAGTTTATTTTCATGTTAGGGTCAAGTTGTTCTTTTGGCTCTAGAAGTTATATTTACAAAGAACTTGTTTTAAAAAATGCTCTTTTATTCATAAATGTTACATAAAACTTTATTTAAAAAACATATATATACACTACTGGGAGTTTCTCTGAAGTCTATCCAACTTTTGATTCCATATCCTGATGTCAACCTTGCGTCAATTTTCAAAAATATTTTCCTCTTGCAAGTCAATTAGAATTATCAGTCACTCTTGTCAGAAGATCACAATGTTCGGGGGGAGGGGGGGGGGTGCGAAATCACAGAAACATGAACTTTATCATTTGGAAGAAAGAAGCCTAAATTTGCATAAGTAGTTGAAAACTTTTATGCACAAGAATAACACTTTACTCACTTGCAACAGGAATTTATAGAAAAGGGTTAAAAAAAAATACTTGGTTGCAAATCAATTGCACAGTGATTTCTTTGTGGAGGGGGGGGGGGGGGGGGAACAATAATTAGCAAGAATGATTCCAGGCAGACAGTGATTACCAATCAGGTTGCCAAGTCACAGGCAACCATTACATCTCACACTGGTACCAGTCTAGTCTACAGCCTGTAATTGCAGCTTCCAATATTGATAAGGTGTTTATCCAGCCTCCACACACACACAGACACACACTTATATACATGAACAACAGTTCTTTGTCTCTGCTATAACAAGCTCATCAAACTCTGCCTGAATAGCCTGAGGCTGGAACAGCTTGAAGTTCTCCCATTCTCTCCTGAATACAACAAGCTTCACAGCTCGCCACTCAATAGCTTAAACACAAGGACACCAAACTGATTTCACTTCTTCGAGTGCAACGCAACCAAAGCACATTTGTACACAGGTGTAAATAGCCTATTTTAGACTGAGCTCATATGAATTTCTCTCAAAACCCTCTTGAAACAAAAGCTGCTAAAATTACTTCTCCTCACACTTTGACTGCACTGAATCAGGCGTTCATTACCAATTAGCCAGACTCCACTGAAGTGAGGTAGTTGACAAGAGACACCTTAGCTCCTCGCTGCGCTGAATAAAGGAATAATAAGCAGGAGGCTTAGTTTCTATTTCGTCTCCTCTTTTGTGCTTTTCCATGTTGTTTCACAGCAAACAAATCTAAAATTTAACACTATCTGCTGGCTTAGATAACTTACAAACTGGATTTATATTTGAATGTTTTTTTGTGCATACAACAAAATGAAATTTGTTATAAATTGGCGCCATTTATACTGAAATGAATCGAATTAAATAATATCAAGAATGTATGCTTGTCATAGTGACTCAGTTAGGCTGTATGTTGTTAATACATTTTTAATATTAACTGCCTGCTATGAGAAACCTAAACCCAATGAGGGAAATTGTTTTAGTATATTATACAGAACCAAATGTGCAGGGGAATAGACAAAGTATTCAGTGAAAACTATTGGCAGATAGAATTGGTTTTGTGTTCACGAGAAACAATGGTATCGTCTGCTCACCTGCCTGTTTGTTGTTTCAAACATGTCAATAAAAACAATAAAAAGATGTTTTCCTATGTCATCATGCCTCACCAGCTCCTCCATTGTAGTCTGAGGTTTGCAGTGCTGGAGTATCAGCTAAAGTAAATCTGATATTTGGAAGAAATGACCAGACTGACTTTATCCTGTCTGACTGGCAAAAAGTAAATAAATTTTTTTGTTTGTTTGTTTGTTTCCTACAGTAGTCCCTCGCTACTTCACGGTTTGTTTTTTGCAGACTCGCTCTATCGCGGTTTTTCAAAGTGAGATTGGACATGACACACAACTGTCTGACTGATGGATGAGCTGCACGATCGGCATGGATTTTTCATTTTAAATGACTTATTTTAAATTATTTAGCACCTACTGCACCTGTGTGCAGCCCACAGCTGCAGAAAAAGTTTCCTCCTGCAGTGTGTCAGATCTCTGCTCCTCAGTGGAGAAGTGGGCGTGGCCGAGAGCACTGGCAGGTGGCAGGGAGCTGAAATCATGACATTATGTGCTCCTTTAGAGCGCGTAGAGTTTAGAAACATTGTTTAGAATATTGCAAGAGTGTAGGAAGGGTTTAAAATGCCTTTGTGTGTGTGTGTATATATATATATATATATATATGGATGGATAGATACATAGATGCATAGATGGATGGATACATAGATGCATAGATGGATGGATGGATGGATGTACTAAAATAAACTACTACCGGTACATACTACTTGTACTACTACACCTACTTTGCAGTTTTTCACTTTTCGTGGGGCTTCAGGGTAAGGATCCTCCGCGATAAATGAGATTCTAGTGTATGTGGAATTAAAGTTATTTTGCAGTAGGGTTTCAAACTCAGTTTAGACTAATATCTAAAACTCAGTCTGGCGGCCAGAAAATCCACACCACTCTAGATTTTTCTTTTTTTTCATATTTTCATATTGTTTGCACTAATATAAAACATCTGTTTATAAAATATTGGGAGCAGTGTAGACTTGAATTCACTAGCTGCTAATGTCAAATTTTAAATGTCTTATACTGCTCTTTTTGCAACATTCAACCAGGTCTAATCCAGAACTTTGGTAGTATTGAATCAGTTGGGGTATTTTTCTATAAAAACTATAACTTTTTTTAAAAACTTCTCTGTATTCTGGTAAAATGTCTACAGACGAGGAAACGGAGACATCGGGGGATTTTGGCAGTGGCGGTGCAGTCATCCTCCTTGACGACCAAGAAGAGGAGCCAACGCAGAGCGAGCGAAGTCGGCAGAAGAAAAGACGGGGCCGAATCCACCCCAGGGGAGCCATAGAGGATGACGAGGACGAGGAAGAAGACAAGGATGATGAAACTGGCTATATTTGGTAGCTTCATTCCATTTTTCTTTGCCATCATCTGACCAGGAAACTCTGTTAACTCGGCACAGATCTAAAGCCATTCCAATGTCTCTTCCTCCAGTTATCTTGGCAGCAGTCCATCCTTTGGCTCCTGAGCCTGCTCTTGTCCCTGTGCCCCATCACTTCCCCCTTATCGCTCTTCAATAAACTTCACATAAACTTTATTTTTGAGTGTTCTACTCTTCCCCTCAAATACCAAACAGAGCTCATAAAGTTGAAACAACTATCAAGCCCTTGAAAGGACTGTACTCAATCCACTTTTAGCTTCTCCGAAACCTACAGTCTGTAAACCTTTCAAACATGGACACTTCTTTCTTTTAGGCCCTTTATCTCTCCATTTGCTGTATGTCAGTATCAATGTCTCTGATCAGTGCGTGAGTCCAGATGCATTAGATGTATTGGATGTAAATATGTTTCTGCCACAGAGGCTTCACTGTGGATTTCCTTGCCCTGTTGTTCCATCATCGATTCATTATCATGGTCTGTGTTCCACCATCGGGCTCCCTTCAGTGTTTGCTGCCATGCTCCAAGACTCTGAGATGCCCCCTCTCTTTCTGTTATTTTATGGAGGATTGTAAATTACTTGTTAATCTTGAATGTGACCAGAGAGCCCTGGAAACAATGAGATTAATGATGTATTGTTGTTGTTGTTGCATGTTTCTCATCTTGTACCTGTAAAAGAGAGATTTACCTGGCCACGTCCAGCTCTATGCATCTCAAACAGAAAGTGATGCCTGTTCGGCTGCTACAATACTATGTTGCTATGTTGATGCTGTCTAGTGTCCTTTTGGTTCTTCTCCCAATCTCAGGAGGTAGGATGTTGCATCGCAAAGAGATAGCAGCTAGAAACGCAAACCTTTTAGGCCTACAGTGCAAACCTGTGGAGTTTCAGCCAGCTGTTCTTTTGCTAAATGGTTCATAGGGCTGCTGAGGCTTTTTGTCTGTGCATGGACACGAGTAGAGGAAGCTGCTCCTGAGCTGGGAGGACGTAAGGTGTCGAGCAGAGACGAGACTCTGCTGTGCCTCCTAACATTGGATATGTTCAGTGATTTGAAATTGAAATCTTCACCATGTCAACTACGTGAACATTTATTTATTTGAAATATTTCAGTAAAGGTGGCACGTCAAGTGTCTTTTGAAACTTACTGGTCTGTGTCTCTTGTTGTCTACATGATGCCACGTATTCTTTCTTTTTTGACCAAATCATAAGAAAATTATGACTATAGAACATGTATAGTGATGTCATCACGAATATTAATGCTGCCATGTTACAACGAGTTTGTGCATTGCATATATGCACATGTGCATTTAGTATAATATAAATACAAACATTTGCCATGTTGTTTTTATTTGTGAGCAAAAACCAGCGGGAGCACACAACGCTGAGTGAGTTCTGAGATTTGAACATGGACCATAAACCACCAGCACTTGAGGCGCCACATCAAACCTCCACACATCCTTTCATCCAACCCTGTCGAGCCCTCAGAGGAGGCTGCCAGGACCTTGCACTCACCCAAGACTCAAGTCTAATTCAAGCATTGGCATGAGCCGCGTTACATCCAAAACCCATCATTGAGCAGGAATCAGAGATTAGATGCCCAGTTGCTTTGAGGATAACCCCACACAGGGGTCCCTTGCAGAATGGATAGAAGAACCCTAACCCTCATGCCTCCTTTGAACTTCCGCCAAGCTGTTTTGGTCACATTTTTAAAAGTAGGAATAAATGTGTGGTATTTCCAAAAATCAAGAGACCTCTAAGGTTCCTAGTGAATCACTTTGGATTGTCATGTCCTGGATTACTGAGAACAACCCAGCTCCCAACTTTCTTTTATAATTTCTACTATTCATTTCGACCTCGATTAATGGTATTTTTTTTGGAGGAAACAATGGGATTACTTTATTTTTCTACCTGACAAGAGTAACCATTTTACTCATTGTAGAGGGTGAAAGATTTCCCATTTTTATTAAGAATCACAGCCAGATAGATGTACAACATGATGGTTAAATGTAGCTCACGATTCTCTAATGCAAGTTGCACAAGCTGGTATAAACCCTCTCTTTGACTCTCTTTACCACCACAGAGAGAATCACATGAGTCCTTTCAGCACTCGGGTCGTATTTTTCTGAAGCCTGGATTTCTCTGCAGTCAAACAATCAAATCCCTCTATCACTTCTGACCTTTTCCAGTTTTGAGAAAGCTGCATCCCTAGAACCAGAGATAGATGGTAGCTATGTAGAATACTCTTGTCACAAACCTTTGAGAGAGAGAGAGAGAAGAATGACAAAGCTAGCAGAGACCAAACAGAACATGAAGGCTTAATGAGTGGTTTTGTAATATCACTGGCTAATGGGACAGCTGACCTCACTACTCTGAAACAGCCTGCTCAGCTAAAACACAACAAACCAACAATCAGAGAGTGAAAGGACAACTTGAGCTTGAAAATACTTACTCAGCAATACATAACAGACACTGTCAGGAAGAATAAAGAATTGGCTTAACTCTGTGAACCAAATCATCTATGGGACTAAAGTAAAGACTAAAGTATCATCTTGTATGTTTTATTTTATTACTGCTATAACTTTTATTTTTATAAATAAATTTGCTTCCTTTCTTGGTCAACTTATTCCAGATCTCATCTTGTGCAGATTATGGGAATTCCACTTAGTCCTTTTGCTGGATTATTTTACTTATATGGGAGTATAGAAATTATAAAGAAGCTAGTTTTACACTGGACTCTGCCTGAGATGTTGTGCAAGGAAAAGCAACTAGAAATGGTCAACCATGCACACTCACATTTGGCTCTAGTCGATTTAGAACCACAAGGTACTGACATCCATAATAGTAGGAGGAAGCTGAAGCATACAGTGGGGCTCCACACACACACAATATGTACAAGTTATATCTAATCAGGAATCTTCTTTTAGGGAGGAGCAGTTTACATCCATCCTAAGTGTTTATTTTTATGAATCCATCTTGCTTTTATCTCTCTCTATTTTTTAAGTAGATCAGTATAAATGAAGATGAGGGCAACAGAGAGGAACAGCTTGCCTGGCTTTGGTCAAGCATCTGGAGCACATTACTATTTCTTGCAGCTGCCAGCTCAGCGGAACAAAAACAGGAAGGTTCATTTGTAATTCAAACTAAGTGTTGTCAGGCAAGATACATTAAAACAATCCAAAATCCTGTAATCACCTCTATTTGTGGATCTCATAGCAATTAATTTAGTAACTTCAGTAACACATCTATTGCACAGTGTTCATTTTCTACTGTTGATTCTACCACACACACATAAACACACACACACACGATGTTATTACTGTTTCTATTTTCTTCTTCTCTCGTTCTCACTTTCCTGGAGTGAGTTCCATCTTCATCACAGTAAGAGGGAATGTGTGGTTATGTTGTATCCTCGGGGCACTTCGTTGCTCTGTTTCATTTCTCTATTAGCGCCTTCTTTATTATCCACAGCTGGCGTTCCTGCTGGGTGGAGCCTCGGATCAGCCCAAGGTAACCATAGTGTGAGGTGATCCATACAGGAGGGGCTCGTGGTTTTATTTTTGTTTTTCCACTGCTGGTTCTTGTTCTTTTATCTTGGAGTTCTCCAACACAACTTTGGAGTCTGTGAGCTGATAGTTAATGGGATTTCAGTACCTGTGCACAAATGTTTTTATAAGTGTTTCTTAAAGTTTTGTACAACATTAAAGCAATCTGTTAATGGTTGTTGGTAATATTCACCTCTAACTTTTAGTTGTTGGAAATGACTCCCAGCTTCTACCCAACCATCAGTAAAATTGGCTGGGTTGTAGCCAAATTTGTGTATACTAAGGTTGCTTAGCTTTGGTGGCCATGTTGAATGGCGTTGACTCCAAAATTTAGTCAGTTGTAGATGTTCATCTAATAACTTTCTAAAGGTTTCATTAACATCCTTCTGCTGGTTCATGAGATATTTTACTAATACGACAGCTCAACAAACATGCAGAGAGATGTGCGCAAAATCTGTATCTCCGCGCTCCTTTGGCAGCGGGTGATAAAAATAATCCTTTATAATATAATTTGAAAATATAAAGATAAACTTTTCTGCTTGTTTTGATTGTGTATAAAGTAAATGATAAATGGACTGTACTTATATAACACCTTTCTATCTTATCAAGATACTCAAAGTGCTTTACACTACAATCTGTGCCCTCATTTACCCATTCATACAGCACTCTACTAGATCTCTACAAAGCTAATTGAACGAATCAGAATAAGGTTGGTTGCAATAGATGAAGTTTCTTCCCTAGTTACCAATCCGATTCAGATATGCCACAATTGTTGGTTTTCTTCAGGCAGACTGCTTTTTTCTTGTCAGCCTTGAGTCCTGCTGGAACTTACTCGAGCCAAAATGGCCAAATTTATGAATATTCCACTACACTGATCCGTGCTATGAGCCTTCTTCAAGGTCAAGGCCAACATGCTGGAGAGTCCTAGAGTCCTAGTGGCCTGCAATTCTTACAAATCACCTCCATCTTACGGTTTAGCTCAGCTGATTTTGAGTTCTCATAGCATGAACCAAACCTTCACACAGACTCAGAAGCTTTGCCTTGGCCAAAACTGCTGCCAATATCTTCTTCAAAGTTTGATAAAACAGAGCCCCGCCGATGCCATAGAGCAGAATCCCTGCTATCATAAATCCAAATATATAAACGTCTTCGGCATCCTCCTGACACAGAACTGAAAAATACATCAGCTGCCAAACTCCTCAAGGATCTCTGATGTACCCCGCAGCGTGAGTCTCAGCCGGACAAGAGGGTTCTCCAGGACCCTGCTGTTTTGTTGAAAAGATTTCAAATCATTCTAAAGAGAATATTCAGAGCTTTATCACATTCATACACTGATGGGACGCACATCGGAGGCAATGAGGGGTTCAGTGTCTTGCCCAGGGACACTTTGGCATGTGACTGCTGGTGGATTTGAACCCCCAACTCTTGCATTGGAGGACAACTGCTCTAAACACTCAGCCACAGCCACCATTAATATATGTGGAGTCTTTCCTAGTTTAGGTCACATACATTCCAATATCTGAACTGTCAGGTAAACGATGGCACGCACCATCCTGATCTCTAAATCACTCTATATTCACATGTTCAGTTTTAATGCAAGAGAGAATTATTGTTTAAACAATCAACATTTTTAAACCCCTACTGGACAACAGTTTAGTAAAAACCCAAGACAAGCTTCAAGTAGACTTTCTCATAGCTGCATTTTGAGTGTTCACCATGTCAGCATGCCATGTGCCAAAACTGCCATTTCACATGAGAGAGAAAATGACTCACTTGTCAAGGTTCAAAGCACACTCATTTGTCCTATTGCACTTTTCATTCTGGCTGCGGGATCACGGACCGATTTGGACCTTCAACCTCAGAGGGATGCAATTAACTACCTGACAGAATAGAAATCCAACAGTACTCCAGAGCCCAAGGACCAGATTTGGGGATCACTGGTCCAAAGCCTGTCTCTGTAATTGGCAGAGACATTGTAATAAGTAGGGATCATCTCTCCCTAATCGGTCACAGCCCACCACTTCCCCCTCCTCACACTCTTTTTCATGCTTGGCTGACACAAAACCAAGCAGCCTGTGGAGCTCCTGAACATGTTGGACTCCCTTCATGCCCCCAAGCAGAAGATCTGTCACTTCTATGTGTTAAACCAACAACATCACCCCACTGCTAATTAAACTCATAGAGGTTACTTTAATGCTAAAAATTTAAAGAGATCAGTCTTCCACAAAATTCAGTTGCAGGAAATTAAAATCATTGTTAGTATAATTCAAATTTAGCCCCATTTTGTTTACCAGAAGCTGTAATGCTGCTGTCAATAGAAACATATTTAAATTTGAAGCATGTTCATTATTTTTCCACTGTTTATTTTTTTTACTCAGTGTGACACCAGTGCCCTCTACTGGTGATCTCTCAGCTGAGTGGAAAACCAATTACAGGTTGCATGAGATTTTCCCTCATAAATACATTATGAAGCTTAATAAGCCACTTAATCAAAAACAAATGTGCTGCAGATTGTTTTAATGTTTTCCATTTCATTCACAATGTGGGCAGTGCGGTAGTGCAGTGGTTAGAATTGTCACCTCTCAGTGATAAGGTTGCAGGTTCGCCTCAGCCTGGGGCCTTTCTGGGTGGAGTTTGCATGTTCTCCCCATGCACAGGTACTCCAGTTTCCTCCCAAAGAGCAAAAACATGCACTTTAGGTTAACTGGTAACTCTTAAGTCCCTAGGTGAGAGTGCAGTTTGTCTGTGAAGGACAGTGTACACCACCTGTCACACAGTGACTGACGGAGATGGACACCAGCTCCAGGTGACCCCGAGAAGCAAGCAGGTAAATAAAACAGATAAATGGACGGATTCACTGGGTATTTTTTCTCTTTCTAAAAAACATCACTAAACGGACAATTTTGTCAAATACCAAACAATTTTATTCATCACTAAAATTTTGAAATATCATTTTCTTTTAAAATCTATATTTACAGCTGCATGTACAAAGAGGTTAACTCAGTCAAGGCAACTAATTTGCATAAGTAAGGCATTTTATTCGGATAAAAAAAATAACCACAAATAACTTCTTCATGCAGTCTTGGGTTTGTCATGAGCGGCATAAAAATAAGCTTTGGGTTTTTGCTTCAAAAGAAAAGGTGCAGAATTTAAATATTCGCATGATCTTTGCTGCTCGTTTGTGCTTTCTTTTAAAATTTCTGATAAATTAAATTAACTGGCAACAGCATCTGTGATTCATGAGCAGATTCTCCTTTCACCAGTGGTTGTTCTGAGCTGCAGCATCCACATCCGTGATGTGTAGAAGTCTGCCACTCGCGCCTCCTTCCAGGTAGCTCGGCTTGACAGCCGGGGTGTCAGACAGCCTCCTTCTGCTTTTGTTTAGGTCTGGATCAGAGAGCGAATGATTTCAATAAATGATGCAAACATAAACTGATAACTGAGCAAATGAAGAGCAAGTCGAGGACAGCAGTTCCTCACCTGAGATTGCAAGTAACATCTTGCGTCGGGCTCCAAAGGTAGAGACACCAACTTCTTTCAGATCCTCGTCGGACAGAGTGAGGAATGTCTGGTAGTCGATCTGGGGGAGTACAGAGAGAGGTTGTATCACGATGCTCATCCATAATGCATGAATCCTCTGGCTGGAGAACAAGAAGGAGCATGTCTGGGTGGTTCAGGCTCTGCAGCAACTTCTACACAGCTGCTCAAGTGAACGATGATTTCACATTATTCTGTTGTATTTATTTCACTCATCAGAATTTAGAAATAACTCATTCAAATGAGAAGGTCTGACAAAGCCAAAGGAAATTACACACGATTTGTGGATGAAAAGAGAGCAGGGAGAATAAAGGTCCTGAATAAACTTTTTCTTAGAGTTAAAAAGATAACAGATTATGTACTGTATGATCCTGTGCTTACATTAAATAAACACATGAATACATAAAGGGCGGAACAGTTGCAGTTGGTAGCTCTGCCGCCTGTCAGCGAGAAGGTTGCCAGATCGAATCCCGGCCGGGGATCTTTCTAGGTGGAGTTTGCATGTTCTCTCCGTGCATGCACGGGTTTTCTCCATGTACTCCAGTTTCCTCCCACAGACCAAAAACATGCATGTTAGGCTGATTGGTAACTCTAAATTGTCCCTAGATGAGAGTGAGAGAGTGAATGGTTGTCTCATTTGTCTCTATATGTCTCTGTGATGGACTGGAGACTTGTCCAGGTTGTCCTCCGCCTCTCGCACAGTGACTGCTGAACATGGACACTGGTGACCCCTGTGACCCAAAAAAGAAGAAGCAGGTAAAAGATAATGGAAGCTGGCTGGCTGGCTGGCTGGCTGGCTGGCTGGCTGGCTGGCTGGCT